GACTGCATTGATTACTGTGAAGAGTATGACATGTTTGAATGGGCTTGACAGAGAAAAAAAACTGTGCTCTGTAATTTAGAAATCTAAAGCTAGCTATTTTTTCTAGAACATGCATTTTATTCAATCAGCTTTTTGTATTAGTTGTTTATAGACAATGTTTGAAACACCAATTGCCACCAACAAAAAGACACACTTGAAACCCCAAAATTGAACTGAATTTGTTCTACAAATGTAATTGTATACATTGTTTCTAAATATATCTAACTCATAAATTGATTAAAAGAAAAATTATGAATTTATGAGCAATTTATAATCAAAACATAAACTTTAATTTTGCTTTCAAAATATTTATTATAAGGAAACAGCTAGAAGTTATATGCCTGTGTTTCTTTTACTCATATTTCTCTATTAAAGTCCCACTGGGGGAAGTGCCATTGTATAAATGGGTTCTCTCTGGAACTCAGCAGAGACACCGTGGAAAGACACAGAGGTATGGTAGAAAGAGTAACCTCTTTTCTGTCCTGGGGCGGTTGGTTCTCAAATAAGTAGAAGGAAAACTATCCAGTTCCAAGTTCAATGAGTTTTCCACAGTGTTTTACTTGGTCTCCACAATGAGGGCTTTGGAAAATGGGCGCCTTTCCTCACCCACAGAGAGCCAACTCAGGCAGCATCACGGTGGGCAAAGTTTGTCTTTACCAATCCTGGCTTTCCTCTTTTTGGTCTCCTTTTCTGTACCAGTGACATTTCTGCTAACCCAGTCAAAATAATACTGCCAATTTAGCTAATTTTACAAATGGTCCCTGGCTTACAAGGATTTGACTTAGAATTTTTATACTTTACAACAGTACAAAAGCAACACACATTGAGTAGAAACTGTACTTTGAATTTTGATCTTCTCCTGGTCTAGCAATGCTCTCTTGCAAAGCAAGCAGCAGCACAGCTCCATCAGCCACGTGATCAGTGGATTGACCACACAGTGCACTGTGTTGCAGGTGATATTGCTCCACTGTAGCCAACTAAGGCTTCTGGGCACATTTACGGTAGGCTAGGCTAAGCTATGATGTTTGATAGGTTAGATGTATTAAATATAATTTTTACATGATATTTTTAAATTTATGATGGATATATCAGAATGTAACCCCCTTTGTAAGTCAAGGAGTGTCTATATTTTGCTACTTACCACAGAGATATTGATATTTCAAGATGAATGCCATATTAAAGGTAACATTTCAAGTATCAGAGTGAAATTTTTGATAGCTAATGTTTTTGCATAGCTGATTTTGGATACCAAACTTTAAACAAATATAGTCAATAATATTTGAAAATAATGAAAGTTGGTCAGGCATGGTGGCTTATGCCAGTAATCCCAGCATGTTGGGAGGCTGATGCAAGAGGATTGCTTGAGTCCAAGAGTTCAAGACTAGCCTGGGAAACGTAGTAAGATCTTGTCTCTACAAATAATCAAAACATTAGCTGGGCAGATGGCGTGGACCTATAGTCCCAGCTACTTGGGAGGCTGAGGCAGAAGGATCACCTGAGGCCAGGAGTTTGTAAGCTATTATTATACCACCGCACTTCAGCCTGGGTTACAGAGTAAGATGCTGACTCAAACAAACAAAAGCATGAAAGCTAATATGCTAGAATAACTACAATTAAAATATATACAAGTTTTTCTCCATTAATTCCTCTCGGATTTTTTTTTTTTTTTTAGAAAACTGGTCCACATTGCTGTGATCTTATAGCTTCACTTGACATGTGCTTCTGAATACTTTAAGTACAGTGATGCTAAGGTCAGATCACCTCAGAATGCCATTATCTTTTAGCTTGGTGTTTATAGAGGAAAGTTGCTACAGGTTTGTGGCTTCCTCTGATATTCATCACATATACAATGTGTCTCCAAGTTCACCACAATAAATTTTTTGGTTCTCAGATAGCATTACAGTCTCCCAGCTGTTAAAAATTCCTCCTCCGCACAGTACTAAACTCCAGAAAAGAATGACTGCTCATAGGTACAAAGATTGTCTTTCTCAACACCTATAAGGGATAATCAATTAAAGAATAGGATGTAGTGACAAGATAATATGATCAGTTGTCTAATTGAGTGGACCAATTTTTTTTGTTTTTTTTTTTTTTTTTTTTTTTTGAGTTGGAGTCTCACTCTGTCGCCCAGACTGGAGTGCAGTGGCCGCTCCCGGCCACCGCAGCCTCGGCCTGCTGGGCTCCGGCGATCCTTCCGCCTCAGCCTTCCAGGTAGCTGGAATTACAGGCATGCGCGACCACGCCCAGCTGATTTTTTGATTTATTATGGAGATGAGGTCTCGCTGCCCAGGCGGGTCTCGAACCCGCGGGCTCAGGCAATCCACTCACCTCAGCCTCCCAAAGGCGCGGGATTACAGGCTGAGCCACCGAGCCCGGCAGGACCAGTTTTTTAATATCTTTGTGTTTCCTTTTTCTAATTTGTAAACATTTTCTGATAATTCACCTATCCCACTGGGTCTTTTGTGAAGACTAAATTGGATAATGTTCATAAAATGCCTGGCAAATAAAAATCACTTAATGATTAGCAGGCATTACTACTGCTCTGTCAATATTTGAATTTGGAGAATGACTTCACTCTTTGTGTAGGAGGTAGAGTTATTATGCAGTGGGTTACAAAGGCAGAGGGTGAATTTCTGAAACAAATCTGAGAATTATTACAAAATTAATTTATATGTAAAGTAATCATGAAAAACAAAAACAGTGGATTACTACTGAAAAAATTTTCAGTGAGACCTGATACTTTCAATTAAACCTGCCACAAACCTACCAAGGAAAATATGAGATATGTTCTGGGCTAGATTGTGTTCAGCTTAATTTAGGTGACTGACTTGTCATGCAGTTGGGAACAAGGCACAAACATAAATTGAAAGATACACAAAAACAAGGTGTTTTGAAACACACATCACACCTCTACCAATTGACTTTGTATTGGAAACTATAGGTACCGGTAACCCAGGTATGCTTACGGCACTTTAAGTATTTAATAAATGACTCTTTAAGTATCCTGGATTACCTAAGAAAGATTTTCTTTGTTATTAGATAATGGTGGGAAAATATTTCCTATGAACTGATAGGGTGATGGATCAACACAAAGGAGTATCACTAGTCAACAAACGATGTTTTGTATGTTGCATTTCTCTCCATTTAATCTTGAAAGTGGCACAACAATAGGTTTCACCACCTGGGTAACTTCCTGATATCATTTGATAACCTCAAAGTTCTTCAAACTCAGTATGTCCAGAACTGATCTCATTATTCACACCCCACATCCAACCTGCTCCTTTTTCTGTGTTCCTTGTCATAGCTTTGTCAAAGCAAACAGTACTATCACCTACAACCCATTCAGTTTTGTAAACCAGAGATTTAGGGATCATTTTTGACAATCTCCCTTTTTTCCCTTCCATAATCAACTGTTGATTTTGCTTCCTAAACTTCTCCCTCTCTCCATCTATCTTCATCTCCCCTACCATCAGTGTGATCTAACCTACCATCACTGCTCTCCTGGACTATGGTAATGAGGCAGGCATAGTTAACAGTTTAGAAGTATTAATAGTTAGGTAGGTTTTCTTTGTTAGAGCTAATTTAGAGCAGGGTAAGGGTTCAGTCATCTTTCTTATTGTACATGACCTTCACCTGACTGATCAGGCATATCAGACCTGACCTCCTTGCAGGTTGGATGTGGAACTACCAGTGCAAGTAAACCACAGAAACAATAGGAAATTACCCAAAATACAAATGTGATGTTCTAAGAGAAGCCCAAATCTAGTTAGACAGTAACTTTCATTATTTAAAAGATCCTTGAGACCTTAAAATGTTGAGAGGTGGTAATCAAAACTTGTGACCAGACAACTGTAGTCCTCTGCACTTAGCTCATGGTTTGCTTAATCATGATTGTAAAAGTATACAAAGCTTCTTGTCAAAAGCAAGCATGTTTCCTTTCTCTTAAAGTTCCCAAGCTTTTCCTTTTTCCTTGAGTGGGCCCCTTTTCTTTCAAATAAATTCTTTCTTAAACTATACTTTGGATTTACTCTGAAATCCTTCTCTGTGGTGAAATCAGGAACCCATGGAGTAACTACACAGCATTCCACCCAGCATCGGCAATAGCCTCTTAACTGGTCTCACTCTGTACATCCCCTCCCTTTTCAACATGGCTTACCCTATCCCAAGCTATTCTCACACCATTGTATGTGCTGGATAATATCCTGCCACTCCAACTCTGATCTTAACACTCTTGATGACTTTTGATGGCTTCAGGATGAAGAGAAAAATATACGTCAATGTGGCTTACAAAGCCTCACCCCACCTCCTTCATGTGTCTTCACTCTTCTTGCTCTGCTCCAGTCACACAAGCCTCTGTGTGCTCCCCTGCCCCCTCTGGCATGAGGTAGCTCTGGCTTTTCCTGATGGCTGTCCTCTTTGCCTAGTGACTTCTTCAGATTATTCATTTCTTTCTTTAATCAGTAGGATATTATAGAAAGCTATTTTTGTTTCGCTTCCTTGCAGAAACTTTCCTTGACCTCCTGGACCACATCAATTCCCTGTTATAGACCTTTGTGACACCTTGCAACTCTCTTTCATAGCACTTAACGAAGTTGTGATTTTCTTTTGACACCCTGATTAATATTTTTCTTTCCTATTAATCTGTAAGTTCCTGTAGAAAGCAGACCACATCTATTTTTGGTCACCAACTAGTCCCCAGCCTAAGCACAGAGTGTATGGTCTAGTGATAATAAGAAATATTTGTGGAATGAGTGAATAAATGATGCCAGGTAAGTTTCCCACATTGCTTTTCTGTAAAGAGAATACCATGTTTTGCTTTAAAAAACAAAAAAATTTAGTAGGCAGTCTGTTATGTAAACAGTCCAGTTTGGTTTGTGAATATCAATATGAACATGGTTAATTTAATCAAATTGTGATAAGGATATAGGGTTTTGCAAAAAGTGAGCTCTCGTGTTTTTTACCTTGAGTTTTAAGGAGTTCAGTTTTTCTTCCCTGAGGTGTTCTCTCAACATCTCCCGGTGAAGCCGCTCCTGCTCCCTTGCAAACTCGCCAAGGGTGTACTGTCGTACACTGTTATGGCGGCTGGACATTCCCAGGGTGCTGCCCCCTTGGCTGGGCACACTCGTGAAGCCTTGCCTCCTGGTAAAGTAGTATACGGTGACACAACTAAAATGGACATTCTTTGTCCTCAGCCGCTTCTCCCTTTTGAGAATGGAGGAAGCTGAAAGAAAAAAAAGAGTTCAGTGAGCACCTAGGATAGCAGTTTGCAGATGAAGCCAAGAAAATGCCACTTGATGATCTTAAATCGATCTAAGTATATCAAATGTATATTCTAGAGTTGGTAGAATATACATTTGTTATATTTGTTATATTTAGATTGTTAAAATATTTAAATAGAAATCTTTCTATTTTCACTCTTAGTTTTTTTTTCTCGCTGTGGCAGAGTAGACTTTTAAGTACTTCTGTAATGGTAGTCTAAGGAAACTTTTAGGAAAGTTACCAATAGTCTGCAAATCAGTGGCAGAATATACAATAGCTTCTGCTTATCCTTGTGGATATGTCACAATCCCTCCTGTGGATGTCTGAAACCATGGATAGTATTGAATCCTATATACTCTTATGTTTTTTCCTACACAGCTATTATGAACTAATTTATCATTTAGGTTCAGTAAGAAATTGACAACAATAATTAATATTAAAATACAGTTATTCTTGTGCTTTTAGGCCATTATTAAGTAAACTAAAGGTTTCTTGAACACAAACACTGTGTGTGGTACTGTGATCGTGGATCTAATAGCTAAGTGACTAATGGGTGAGTAGTTTAACACTGATATGCTGGATAAGGGATGATTAGAGTCCAGGGGGACAGAGTGGGACAGAGAGTTCATCATGCTAACAAAATGGCATGCAATTTAAAACTTATAAGTTGTTTATTTATGGAATTTTCCATTTACTATTTTCAGATTGTGATTGACCTTGGATAACTGAAACTATGGAAAACAAAACCACAGATAATGAGGGGACTATTATAACTTCTCATTTTCTCTAACCCTTTGAGTTCTGGTTTTATCATTTTTATACAAGTTATATTAGACTATAGTCAGAAATGACACATAATGCAATCCTTCGTACTTTAGATCATAGTTCTATAAGGAGAAAGTTCGGCATTTAAAAAAATCTATTTATAAATTTTAGAAAATTCCAGAAATCAATAAAAAATACACAAAAAGGACTTACTGGCACCATTTAAATATTTTAACAATCTAAATATAACAAATCTTTTATCTGAAACAAAATAAAGCAGTATTCCTATTAAATAGCATTACAGATGATAGTAGAATTTTAATCCAAGTATACATTTAGGTAACTGAAAATGCCATGAAATATCACAGAACCTTTTTCTTGTTGTTATTTATTTTTATATTGATAAATTAAAAATTGTATATTTATGGTGTCTAACATGATGTTTTGATATATGTATATGTTTGAGATTCCTAAATCAATCTAATTAACATATTTATTACCTCACACAGTTTTTTTTGAACCTTCATTATTAGAGGGACATCAAGATCCACAGAGCATCAAGGAAAGTTAAGGCAGACACTTTAGTTGAGTAAAAGAGGGTCACACATTACAAAAATGACCTTTAGGAACTGAAAGACACAGCACAATCAATCTTGCCCAGTCCTTTCATTTTATAGTAAAGTAACCAAGGCTTGGAGAATTAGAGTGACTTCTTTTGATGCAGATTGCTAGTGACACAGGTAAACTTCAACCTAAAAGCTTCCGATCTGGTGCCATATTATATGATGCTTCCTCATAGGGGAAGGAAAAGTACACTTAGTTGAGAAGAAATAAATAGAAACACACTATTATGGGTTGAATTGTGTCCCTCTTGACTAAATGGGTTGAAGTCCTAACTCAAAGTATCTCAGCATGTAATCTTATTAGGAATTAGGATCTTTAAAGGTAAACAAGTGAAATGGGCAAGCCAATATGAAAGATGTCCTTATAAAGTTAAAATTTGGATACAGACATGCACAGAGGGAAGATGAGGAGAAAAGTCACAGGCTGAACATCGCATGAAGACAGACTCAGAATGCTACCCAAGTCAAGGAATGTCTGGCACAACCAGAAGCTGGAATACGCAAAGAAGGATTCTTTCATGCAGGTTTCAGAGGAAGCATGACCCTGCCAACACTGGTCTTCGAACCTCCAAAACTGTGAGAAATTTCTGCTATTTTCAGCAACTCAGTTTGTTTATATATTTATGGAAGCACAAGAAAACTAATATATATGCTCAGGTAGAAAAACAGACAGAAGAAAAAAAAAAGACAACAAACAACTGAGAAGAAACCTCAAATGGCAAAATACTGTAAGTTAACAATTATGGAGTGCTTCCACATGCTGTACTATGCAAATAACTTTACACGAATTATCTCATTTTATGTTTAGAACGCCTTGAGTTGAGATTGTCGATGTACCCACTTTTAGAAAACCAAATTACCAAAGGTTAAGTAAAACAGCCAAGGTCATAAAACTAGTGGTGAAACTGGGATTTGTTATCCTGTTTTTCACTACCATGTCACAGGGAAGTGAAGAAGGCTGTGATTTGATACCACACTACCTCTTGTAGATGTCAATTGCTGCTGACTTCAAAGATGCTTTTGATTTGGAAAGCTGTAGGTATAAGCAATGAAAAAAATATCAAACTGGATTTATGAATCTTTTTTCAGGAGGTTCCAGTTCTTTTATCTCCATAAAACATTCAAGACGAATATAGAGAGATTGCTATGATTAATATTATTTCATGGAATTGTTTATTCTATAAATATAAATTGAGAGCCTACTCTGTGCTAGGTACTTTTTAGATGATTGGAATATATTTGTTAAAAAAAAAAAATTTAAAAAAGACACTGATCCCTGCCCAAGTGGAGCTTCCATTCCAGGGATGAAAAACTCAGACAGAATGAAGAGACTCAGAAAATTAGCGACTCAGATAATTATAACATTAGGGCAGAAGTTTCGCTTTCTCGACTTTCCCTCTTTTCTACTGTTTTACTTCTCCAAAGGAGATTGCCAGAAAGCAAATGCTTTCAAACGTACATGATTTTTCCATTTATTTATATATACATTCATGGCAACACCCTTGTACTCAAAAGTAGAGACAATTTTTTTTTTTTTTTTTGAGTTGGAGTCTCACTCTGTCGCCCAGACTGGAGTGCAGTGGCCGTTCCTGGCCACCGCAGCCTTGACCTGCTGGGCTCCGGCGATCCTTCCGCCTCAGCCTTCCAAGTAGCCGGAATTACAGGCATGCGCTACCACGCCCGGCTGATTTTTTGATTTGTTGTAGAGATGAGGTCTCACTGCCCAGGCAGGTCTCAAACTCACGGGCTCAGGCAATCCACTCACCTCAGCCTCCCAAAGGCGCGGGATTACAGGCTGTGCCACCAAGCCCGGCTAGTAGAGACAATTTTTAACTTTGATTTTAAAGTTCTGATCTGCTTCATAACTGTGTGTTTAAATCTTCTCAAAACAGAGGAGAATTTGTCAAAATGTAAAATATATCATAGAAAGCAAAATTTAACAAGCTGCCCAGTAATCTGCTACCAGATCTGACAACATCATCCATCATCATCTTAAAGCAGGCTAGTGCCTGTGGTTTTGGGGTGATGACCTTCCATCATTTTTGCACTTGATATTTTAAAAATAATGCCCGTAAGACATTATCTTTAAGGACATACATTTACAGACAAGGAAAAAGCTTTTAATGTACTCATTTAAAACAATTATTATAAATACTTCTGATAATTTTATTACATATTTTCTAGACAATAACTCTCAACAAATTTCCTTTTTAATAATTTATTTAGATCTACACCTGCATTTTTAGATTATAAGAATTCCTCACCCTTCTGGATGAGTTTATTGGACCACCCTTTCCTGAAAAGTCAAATTACCTTTAACTCATAAGCCAGAGTTTAGAGATTATTTTCTAAGGCTTCGAGGATGACAGTAGTGGCAGAGAGTTAGTGCCCTTCAGCCAGGCCCTTGGCACCATCGACATTGACATTGTCAAGGTGTTAGGAATAGTGCTTTCTCCTTTCTACTAGAGTTTATAACTAGGACATGTGCCTGTGTTTATTTTAAAATTTGTGTATTATAAATAGCATTCTGAGAACAATGATTCAAAAGCCTATGGAATATATTTTTTTTTTGAGTTGGAGTCTCACTCTGTTACCCAGACTGGAGTGCAGTGGCCACTCCCGGCCACCACAGCCTCGACCTGCTGGGCTCGGGCGATCCTTCCGCCTCAGTCTTCCAAGTAGCTGGAACTACAGGCATGTGCTACCACACCCAGCTAATTTTTGATTTATTGTAGAGATGAGGTCTCCCCAAGTTGCCCAGGCGGGTCTCGAACCCGCGGGCTCAGGCAATCCACTCACTTCAGTCTCCCAAAGGCGTGGGATTACAGGCTGAGCCACCGAGCCCGGCTCCTATGGAATATTTTAAAAGAAAGGTTTTGAGATACTATAAGATCAGCCCGAATGGGCAGATATGCTAAGTATGGCTTTCCTGAACTAAGAAGCCACCCATGTCTTTTGATGATTGACTCAGAACACTGGAATGGACCTTTATGAACTATCTTCTGCCTCTAGGCTCCAATTTGACTAACATCACAAAATGAAGTCATAAAAAAGAGTCTGTGTTCTTTGAGCCTAGAAAAAGCTGGCTAAATTCACTCAGCACATCTGCCTTAGGGAATCTAAAGCCTTCGTGATATATCTTCTCAGTAATTTGTGCCCTTTGCAAAATGATTGAACTCTGCATTGAGTCTCTACAGAGTTCAATGATGGTTTTATTATTGTAAGTTCAAGAAAGTAAAAACAAGGAAGAAGATTGTGGCTTTAAAAAATAATTTGTCTGTCTTCATACCTGATACCAACTTTTTAGTGTCTTTCAGCTTTTCTTTTACCACTCTGAAGCAAAAATGTATACATACAACAGTACTATACGCATATATATTGCCCAGGACACAGCTCTTGGGAGCACCACTATGGTCAGCACATCAGGCCGTACTGGTATTACTGTAAAGTGGTCACATATTGTAGAGATAATATTGTTCTTTGTAAATTAAAGAAATAAATAGCACAGAATGATTGATATTTGCTATCTACAGGAAACATATATCTTAAAAGTAGCTTTTAAAATGAATGGAGA